GATTGTTAGCATAGCAGTGTATATTGGAATATGCAATTTCTATTGAAATTTTTATTTCCATTCATATTTCAACCGTCGGAAGTTCTACCATTGAAATTGTAAAAATCAACGAAAAATTCAAATGGAAAACTCATTTCACCGTAATATTTTTGCTGGAATTTATTGAAAAATTCAAACGGAAATAATAGCATTGAAATATTTTTTACAATTGCCATTGGAATTCCATTGAAACATATTTTTGTTGAAATTTTTTGTTGAAATTTCATCATTTTCTTGTAGTGTTAATCATCATGATCTTTGATTTAACATTCATGTTGCATATACCAAAGCACACATTTTTAATAAAATATTACAAAAATATAAATAATATATATATATATATATATATATATATATTATTTTATTACACATACAAATGAATGTACGTTTCTCATGATATTAAACACATAAGTACAAAAATAATAAGATATTGTTTTGGTCATGTTTCATGTTGTAAAGCAAAATTTCATATTACGGCCGTGCGATGCTCGGGAAAACAGTATTACGAGTGTATTATAAATTAAATATATAATAACATTAATCATGAATTATCTATTGTTTTTTAAATTAAATCGGGTTTTTAAAATGTTTATAAATAAAAATCTGAACAAACCACAAATGATTTAATAAAACAACTTGATCTTAACAGCTTGATCGTTTCGATGATGGTCTAGTTCTGAAAACCATATATTTACTGTACATTAATAAATATTATAATAAAATATTATTTAATTCACATAAATATTAATAAAATGATATATAAATATTCATAAATCACTAAACATGTTGTCATAAAAGTATTGTTAATACGATTATTTGAAGTTTGGACTACATCACATTCAAGTAATAAAATATTTTCAATATAAAATTTATATTAGGTTCAATAATCGATTTGGTGTGGTCGAACTGATACATAACTTAATAACCTGGGACCAACCAAGTTGTGTCAAATTTTTTGACTATTTTAAATATCACGTAAAAGTAATTCAATCAACCTGGGTAGTACCCTAATTCAATCACCCGATTGATACGAAGAATTTTTCTTATTTTCTTTAAATATATTTAATTTTATGAAATAAAAATATTTTATGATTCATATAATAAAGGTCTACACCAAATGATAGTATATTAAGATTATAAATTATATATCTAAAGGTGAATTAATTATTTTTACATTATGCATATTAATAGAAAATAAACATAGTAATTTTCAAAACAATTAAGATTAATTAATTGATTATGCAATTTAAAGAATATTTTTGGCGTTCAATATTTTTTTTAAAGACACAAATATAAAGACCGAGATTCTAAACGTTTTGTTATATTTTGAATTGAGATTTTATAAATATAGAGACCGAGATTTTTAATGTAGTTCGTTGTTTCTAAGAAAAAATAAAAATAAAAATAAAAACATACGCACTTAATAAATCTTAGTCGGATTTTTTAAGTAATAAAATAAACTAAAGCCCGAAATTTAAGGTAGCATTTGATGTTGTATGGTTTTTATAGAAATATATAAGAAAAATAATAAAACTTACTATTTATAGGCTGCATTAAATTCTGACCTATTTTTTTACTACTATTTTTGATAAATGATAATTCTTATTATATATATATATAGATTGAATTAATAATAAATACGAGAACTTCGTACAAATGGATTTCAACAGATCAAATGAAACATAGTGCATTACAAATCTCTATTTTTCCTCGGATTAGTATCCTCAAGGACGGTCTTCAAGTGGATTTGAGACTTTCGAAGACGAATCTTCAATTTGATCTCCGTCGGTCTTGAACTTGAATTTAAATAACGTTTCTTCGAGGGCTTGACAGCTTGATCTCGAATCGAACATTGTGATTTCCCAAGAACGTGAAGAACACGAGTCCTTGGTCTTCGCCGAAAAGTTAATCTTCGATCTTCTCTATGCCGGTCTTGACTTTAATAACGTAATTCGGAGGCTTGGTAGTTTATTTCCGGATTGAACGTCGGACTTGAACTTGAACGCGCTTGAATCTTCCTTAGAATCTTTAAGAACGCCTTTGGATCTTCAAGAACACTTGAATCTCGTTGAGAGAATTCTCTAGAGCTCTTGAACTTGGAAATTGAATTGTGAATATGAATTGTGATTTTTGACCTTAGGGAAAACCCCTATTTATAGGTGTTAGGAGAGAGAGTTTTGGAAAAGAAGACTTCAATTTGATTGGTCCATGAATTTCCAGTATTTATTTTTTTAATAATTATTAAAAGAAATAATTATTTATTTTACTCTCCAAGAAAATGACACGTGGCATTCTTTAACTGCCCTTCAAAATATACATGTGGCATTCTTTAATTGGCCAACAATATATATTAAATAACGTTTCTTCGAGGGCTTGAGAGCTTGTTCTCGAATTGAACGTTGTGATTTCCCAAGAACGTGAAGAACACAAATCCTTGGTCTTTGCCGCAAAGTTGATCTTCGATCTTATGTACGCTGGTCTTGACTTTAATAATATATTCGGAGGCTTGGCAACTTGTTTCCGGATTGAACGTCGGTCTTGAGTTTGAACGCGCTTGAATCTTCCTTCGAATCTTCAAGAACGCCTTTGGATATTCAAGAACACTTAATCTCGTTGAGAGAAATCTCTAGAGCTCTTAAACGTGGAACTTGAATTGTAAAGATGAATTGTGATTTTTGACCTTAAGGAAAATCCCTATAACTGTTAGGAGAGATAGTATTAGAGAAGAATACTTCAATTTGATTGGTACATGAATTTCTAATATTTATTTCTTTAATAATTATTAAAAGAAATAATTATTTATTTTACTCTCCAAGAAAATGACATGTGACATTCTTTAACTGACCTTCAAAATATACATCTCGCATTTTTTAATTGGCCAACAATAAATATCAAATAATCAATTAATTAACTATTTAATTGAAGAATTAAAATTTGTCTAATTTCCCAAAATAAAGTAGAGAATTATTAAATTGATTATGACATGAAATTTGACTTGTCGCTATTTATTTTCTCAAAATTTAATTATCTACACATGTGTTTATAAGAAAATTTAACTAGGGGACAAATTTTAAGTATCGAGATTTTCAATTTTTAGACTATGCTCTGTTACTTTATAAGACAATATAATAAAAGGAGAAAGTATACAAAGTATGAGAGTTTGGTGGGAAATATGAGCTAAAAAATGTCACGTGGATAAGTTGGTGAGACTAATAAGGATTTGTAGGTGCAACAAGAGAATCACACAAAATACAAGTTATTTTTTAAAGCGAGATCACTATTTAAATTGAATTTGCCACCAGCTATAATGATGTGGTGGTACAATATTAAGGGAAGATGAAAATACGCAACAGGAAAAAAAATGCTAATAGAAGAAACAAACATGCGTGTTATATAATGACAAACATAAATGTTAAACAAAACGAGTTGTAATCGTGAGATCAGTTCATTAAGATTCAGACTTATTTAGTAAACGGACTGAAAGTTTGGAACTGAAATTTTTAATATAATTTTTTATGATTCGACTTGTTAAGAACGAGTTCGTCTCGTTAATAAGTGAACCAAATTTGAGCTCGTTTATCGACTCATTTTGTGAACATTAGGCTCGATAAAAGGCTCGAGCTCGAGTGTGAGCTTGACTCCAACTCATTTACACTCATATAGTTTATCTTTTGAAGAGATAGATTGTGAGTCATTGTTGCATTTTATTATTACATAAATCAATGCTGATGTCTACGGACAACACTCTTAATTTGGAGCTAACAAACTATCACAAAATTAAAGGATTGCATTATTGCACAATTACAAATTAATACATGCCATATATAATTCGTTGCCAATTGTAATTGCATAAAATTCTGTAGTGGGCCAAATCTTGATGATGATTGATGATTATGGATTTGGAACCATGAATAAGGTTAAAATTGCACCGACAAGTTAAGGGGCAGTAAGTGAAATAAATGTTAGATTCCATTGTCACACCCCAAGCAATTTATATCCCTTTCATAATGTTGGATGGCTAAATTCAACTATTTTAGATGTGATATGTCGAAAAACGTATGTATTTTGTATATTAAAAAATATCTTTTTTATAATATTTTTTTAGTTGTGCATTTATATTTTTTAATTCATTTCTTATTCAAATGAATTCACGTGTTTTTTTATAGTTTTATGCTCTGTTTCCAGAGCATAACAAAATATTTTCATGGATGGTATAATTGAACAGTGTTTTATGTCCAACATTGACTAGAAAAATTTAAGGCCCACAACGTACAATAAAAAGCCCACTAATCTCGTCTGTTGTCTGCTGATTAAAGAAATTTGTGACTTGTGAGGTGAACTAATAATGGAAGGAGAAAAATGAGAATAGACCCACACATAGCATCAATAGAAAACTGTATCGATCCTTGCTACTAATATTAACACTCCAGTGAAGATTAGTTGGAAAAAAAAATTTTAAATTTATATTTGTCTCTTGCTCTATGATAAAATCTAGTTCCGCTGAACCCGGTCTACTAGCTTGACGATGAATAGAGTTGTAATTGAGTCGAGCTGAGCTCAAGTTCAGGGTGTTCGAGCTCGAGTTCGAACTCTTAACGAGCTAAGTTCATTTAGTAAACGAGTCAAATTTTGAGCTCGAGTTTAGCTCGTTTATTAATAATAACGAGTCGAGTTGAGCTGATCTCGAGCTTTAACGAATTGAATTTTGTAAAAATTCACTTTTCGAGTCTTTATTGAGCAGAGTCGAGCTCTACTCGTTAAAGAAACGGACTTTAAGTGAGCTCGGCTTGTTTGAGCCAAACTCGAGCATTATGGACCGTGTTGAGTCAAGCTCACAAGCAACTCATTTCGTTTAACAGTTTAAAGATGATCGAGTTACCGGGGTCGGATGGTTCAGGTCGGGTAGCTGATTTCTGACGCTTCAGATGTTATGCAACTCCAGCTCGGCTGGACTGGATTCATCAGACAAAGGTGACCAAATTGTAGCCATGAGGGTTCAGATTGAAGGCCCGAAGTAGTTCGAGTACAGATGAGTTGATGTCCTTCGAGAAGATTAACAAACCTGACAAGAAAGAGACCTAAGAAGGAAAGAGGATCATGTCCATGTGGGAACAGGATCTTACCTAAGGCATAAAGTTCTTGGGCAGCAAGACTAGGGACGTATCTATAAATTAAAAGTAGACTGAATTAGAATTTTAAAAACTCATTTTCACAAAAGTCACATAATATTTATCTTTTTTCAAATATTCACTGAAGTTGCGGTCGACAAGTTTCTACAAAAAAAAATTCAATATGCTCATTTTGCATCGTATTTGACGTGATTTCACTAGTTTGACGTCAATCCCATTTTCTAAAGAATGATGATATCAACGGTGTTTTTCCTTTCTTGACTGAAGATTGGTGTTCCACGTGAATTTCTAAAAATTCCACAATACAAATAAATAGATTTTCCATATGACATAGTTATTAGCAAAATGAAATGTCTACACATCATAAATTTATATCTGACTATGATATACAACAACCACAGTAGAGGATAAGAGATTAAACACACACACACAATTACAACTTCATATACAATTAACAAAACGAAAATTGCAATTAAGATCCCAACAATAATTATTAAAATCCTAAATAGCTCAACTTAAATGAGAAGATAGGCAAAGACAATTAGAAATAAAATAAATATCTAATAGGGAGTTTAAAAATATAATTTACTATTAAAAAAGAAATCAAATCGTCTTCATGAAAGTAGTTCTTTTTTGTAGAATAATTTTTCTGTTTTTCCTACTAAATTCATTGTTCTGGTGTATAGGAGAGGGGCATGGCATTACTAATTTATTTGATTGGAGTTTGGTGTATTATACAGTTATTAGAGTAGTGTAAGTAGTCTTTCGACTTAATAGATATGTGAATTATTTTGGTGGGTTAATAAATTATTTATTGAGTTGGGGTCTGTTGGGCTAGAAATGCATTATTTTTTTATTTTTCAAACTAGTAATTATTAAAAAAAATAATAGGTATGGACTGGGCAACAAGATAACCACTCTATATTTCACGTTCTGAATGTTAACTGTTATACACCATATTCAAAGGACTTTTATTTGAGCGTTGTAGTGCTTATGCTTAAAACCCCTCTCGGCCCTCGATTATAGGTCACGATTTTACTCGGGAGTACTCCAACTGTCAGTCCCCACAAACCATCGATTAATTCGTCCATAAGCAAGTGATACCTTGAAAGGAAAAAAAAAACACAAAAGAAGAAAATTAAGTAAACAATCAATTGTTTGCTAAATACCATTTTTTATGCTAGTTTGACCCGTCACAACTCACGGCCTCTAATTTTATTGTTCGTTAAATAACGGTTCAAAATAACTTTTTGATCGAAAAAAATAATTCGAAGGAGCTTTTTGAAAGGGTATTATAAATTTGTTCTCTTTACATATCAAACAACTGATTATTTTGCACAAATTAGCTAATTCAATTAGCTAGTCAAAACTACTAATTTAATAAGTTATCCTCTATTAGCTAATTCAATCAATTATCAGGTATCCGCTAAGTAACAAACAATGCCTTAATCTCAGTAAAATTCAGCAGATATTTTTTAAACAATTGCTAACCAGCCAACAGCAAGTTTGAGTTACATAATATTTTTGAAAAAAAAAATTCAGCATCCATCTTACTTGGGTTGATAGTTGCAAAATAGAGCTCCACATTTGTTATTTAAGTTGCAATGAGCAATAAAGGCTATGTTCAATTTCAACGTTTTTCTTCTCTTTCAAAATATGAACAAAAGTATGAATGGAAGTTAGTTAATGTACCTCTTTATCCCAATCAGTCCTGTAAGTCATGAAAACCAGTATCACAGTTTGGACCACTGTTCCAATTATCATCCCAATCCAACTCCCTACAACAACATTTTTTTTTTTTTTTTCCCACATGAGAGTCAGCAATTACTATGATTTTATAAAGCAGTCGATGAAAATCTTTCGTTCGGAAATGTTTAACGATCATAATCGAAATTCGGCTAGGAACAAAATGTGAAAAGCTCGATGCCTCACCTCGACTTCTAGTTTGATTCCTATCAAGTAATATGAACCGAGGTTTAACGTACGCTACAATTCCCTGCCGTCCGGCCCCATTTGCCACACCTGTAAAAAAAAAAAACGAGCAACTGCCTTGGCCACATTTTCGCTTTTCGTGAAGAAGTAAGCCAAACACCCCCTAAAGAGCAAGAAAAACACAAAGAGGAAAAATGCGATGGCGAAGGATGTAAGAACCACCATCAAGATCGAAAATTTCTCGGCTTTAGGGTCCTTCCTTCCAAGCTCATTCGAGACTCGAACACTAAAGTGGAGAAAAATCATAGGCACACAGCAAAAAAAAGAAAAAAAGAAAAAAAAAAAGAAAAAACAGAGCAAATGTTATGAGATCAAAGCAGAAACTTCTTGTCCTAAGACGACAAATAACTACAATTTAACAAAACCTTGCTGCATTCATGAAACCTATGGAGATCATCACTGCCCAGCCACTAATGTTGAGGCTGCAGATGATCAAAAAAATCTGACGTTCCGAAAGAGTTTCGAAAGTAGCGAAAAAGTGATTCATATAAATATTTATAGTTACCAGATAGAAAGAGCGTCGATTGTGACCTCAGCATTTTTCATGTTTCTCGTCAGAAGCACGAGTATCGTATTATACCAAAACTCTAGAGTGCAAGTAAAGAACATCAAATTAGCTGTGTTTTAAGAAAACAAGTCCACAAAGTTACATTTTTTTTTTAAATTACTATTTCTACATAAAAATACAATTTTAGTTATGTATGTTTGACTACCCTAACTTATTATTTTGATTTTCGTCTCTTATGTTAGCAAAAACGTTGCAAAAAGGTCCTACATAAGGGACGAAATTGCAACCATATTGCAAACTCGAAGGGACCTTCTTGTAGCCTTATTGCAAACACAAGGTACGAAATTCAGAACAACAATTCGAATGTGACCAAAATATTATAGTTGGTAACATACAGGACTAAAATTGCAATTTTCTCTTAACTCTAACTAGATCATTGCGCCACACAACAACGAAAGGCTCGTAAAACCCCTCCACATCTCCCGACACCCTCCGAACATCACGTACGCTAGCTGCCCGAAATTCGAAACCCAACACGCTAATATAGTCGACACCATTGCCCCCGGGACACCAAACTCGTACCTCACGGTCAAAACCCACGACAAAATCAAGTGCTGAAACAACGAATAAACCGCGAGGTACGAGACCATGTAGTTCTTGCTCTGTGCCTGCAGGTACATCTAGCAACTGAACGACGCAATGTAGGAGAAAATAACCGGGACGAACCACAGGGCGACATTTCCCGCCATTTCTGCTATGTGCTTGTCCTGCCCGAGGGCCATGAGGATGGGCGCCGTGAAAATAAACAACGGCGAGAGTAAAAATGTGGCCGCGGTTAAAACGATCCACGACTGTTGGAGGTAAATGCCGAGCATGTGATACTGCTTCGCGCCGTACGCCTGGCCGCACAGCGTTCCGAGCCCGCTGTTCATTCCTAGCTGCCGCATTTTAATTTGAAAAAAAAAACGAAAAATCG